TTTTTTTTTTTTAAAGACAGGGTCTTGATAGTTCTGGCTAGCCTCAAACTCATACCAATCCGCCTGCCTCAGCGTCCCAAGTGCTAGGATTATATGCATGTACCACCACCCCCAGCTATTCAATATATCTTCACTGAGATGGTAGACCTACAAACCTACACAAGTGACACAGCCGCAAAAAATTTAGCTGGGGTGGTGGCCCGTGCCTGTAATCTCAGCACTCAGGAGGTTCAGGCAGGAGGATCCCCATGAATTCTAGGCCTGCCTGGGCTACACAGGGAGTCCAAGGCCAGCCTGAACTACATAGCAAGACCTGTCTCAAAAAAAAAAAAAAAATTGGAAAGAACTTTATATACCAACACCAAAAAATAAAAACAATACAAGTAAAACTGCAGCAATCTGAGTAAGAGGTAAACTATATCAGTGTCAGTATCCAGCTCTAATACTATTCTCTACACCCAAATGGTGACAGCAAGTTTTCAGGCAGCTGCCACCACTGCACACACATGAGTCCTGGAGTGTCACTGAACATTCCTTCATCTGGATTTTCCCATGTGTCCCCAAAGCCAGTAACACTAAATTACAAAATAACATTAATTTGTACTTAGAGTCCATTCCCAAAATAACTGGGCATTTCAATTACAGCTGACCCCTGAATAACTCAAGTTATAGCACTGACTCACTCACACAAGGTGAAAATCTGCAGAAAACTCTTGGCTCTTCAAAATACAAGGCAAGGGGCTGGGGATTTAGCTCAACGGCACAGTACCTGCCCAGCAAGCGCAAGGTCGTGAGCTCGATCCCTGGTACCGGAAAAAAAAAAAAAAACACAAGGCAGCTACAAAATGATTATATGAGTTAATTTCACAGTTAAGTTTTAATACTGCATCATGACATTTACTTACAGCTCTTTCTGCATAGAACACCATGTATGTAAATTTTGGCAAATTTTTACTTTCTAGTATATATGTTGCCCAAGTGAGCACAAATTTTAACTTTTTTGTTGTTTGGGTTTTTTTTTTTTTTTTTTTTTTACAAACAGGGTCCTGTTTTGTAGTTCATGCTGGTCTTGAACTTGTCAAGTAAGCCAGGCTCACCTCAAACACATGGTGATCTTTCTGCCTCAGGCTCTGGAGGGCTGGGTTACAGGTGTGCACTACCATGTCCAGCCTTTAATCTTTATAACAGATCTGTGTATATTTTATGGTAGCAAATTGATAAGACTATTGTCTAACACATTTTATACACTCATAACATACCTACTGTATTCCTAATGGTCTTGATACTTCTAGGCTATGCAGTTCATCTGAGTTCTTTCAAACTATCACAAATCAAGAAAAAAACCCTGCAAGGTTCAAACACATGTATTTCAAAGTCAACTGTACTTCTATCAAATCTGTCAAATAGATGACAAGATGTCTTAGTACAGAACAAAGGTTATATTCTAGGTATTTTTTTGCAACCTTTTCTGTTTGTGAAAGATTCCCAGCATCACGCTGGCAGGGCCAAAGAAAGCAGTTACTTACCAAACCATGAGTCTATATTTTCTGTATCTTCCTCATAATCCAGGGATGCAAAATTAATGAAGTAGGATGGAGCATCAAAGGAGTAGGGGTTTTTAATTTGCAGCATTGTCCTGCCCTTCGTGGGGAGGAGCAGGTTTGTCCCAATGTTTGTATCACGTTTCTCGACGGGTCAATTTCTGAGGAGAGAATGGTTCAGAAATTTGGCTCGTATTAATCGAAGGCACCGACTGAGTCCTACTCTGTGTTAGTATTACTACATTTGCAACTTAGCAAATATACTTATTTTGGACTGTATACTTATTTTGTCAAATCAACCTACAATTTAGGGTTTTTGGGGGGTTGTTTTGATAACTTGAAAACATTCTTTGAGGTAAACATATTTGAATTAGAAAGAACCAAAAGTTTGATGAGTGCTTACAACATGCCAGGTACTGTGCTAGGCATTTTACATCCATTATTTTAGTATTTTCTCCACTACCACTTTTTCACCTCCGAGCTCCTCTGCCCTGATAACCCCATTTCTGAGACATAGTGACTTTAATGCCTGATGTGTATCAGAGTCCTAATTTCAATGAACTCTCTCCCAGTTTCTACCTACCACACACATTTCTTGTGCTGCTAAAGCCAGAGAGCTCTGTTTCTATCTCTGCTATAATACTTCTCACCCGGCTTTATATTTAGAGTAGACCGAGTTCCTGAAAACAAGAATGCATTTGACTTGCACACACTTCATCTATCTGTCAAGGTACTTAGCACAGCACCTTTTTTTTTTTTTTTTTTAGCACAGCACCTTATACAAAGTACGTGCTAGGTACAGTTTTGCAAGTACAGGGTTGTTTTGTTCTGTTTGAAGCAGTGTCTTGCTGTGCAGTTCAGGCTGGCCTTCTACTCACTACGAGGTTGCCTCAGTCTCACAGCAATCCTGTCTCAGCCTCCCAAGTACTGGGACTGCACCATGTGACAGGCAATACAGGTTCTTTCCTAAGAAATACTTTTCCTGGACTGGGGAATATAGCTCAATGTTGGAACACAGGCTTAGGTCTGGGTTCAACCCTTGGTACTGCCCACCAGAAAAAAAAAAGAAGAAAAAAAAAGAAATACTGTTAAGAAAATGACTTTAAAATACACATAAAATGTACAATATGCAAAACAACTACAAGTAACAAGTCATAGATATGGGCCCACTATAATGTTTTATATTCTATCATACGGAAACCTCTACAGGTTTAAATTCAGCCTCCATTCCAGATATATCTAGCTTATAAAAGAGCTGGAAGTAGTATGAAAAACAGCCTACCACCTAGTCTCACTGGCATATAATTTGGCCTATGAAACTCAATGAGCCATTTATTTCTTTATCCAACATGTGCTTAAAAGCATTCTGAATCTTGGAAGGGAACTTGATACCACTTCCCTGGCATAATCACTTGCATAAACATTTTTAAAAATTAACGAGTTTCGTTAAATTTTATTTAAAAAAAAACTCATTTCATTATAAAAGTGTATGCTCATTTTTAAAAGGTAACTAAAAAGCTTTTATAAAAATAAGTACTTAAAAATTTTTTAAACATTGTGATGGAGACCAGTACGAAGAAGACCTGAGCAGGACTTAAATTAATCAATTGGCTTTTCTTGTTCACTTGTGAATCTGTCCAAGGCCCAGGCTCCTTGTCTGGAAATGGTGGGACTCATAGTAAGTGAACCTCTGTGAGTCACTAACCCCTACGAGAACCTGCAGTGGTGGATGAAGCCAAAAAACCTCAAAGGATAAGATCACAGCGATGCACACCTGGATCAGATCTCAACTGGATAAAGACTATAGCCTCAGGCATCTTACTCCTGAGTGGATTAACTTAATACCTCACTTGGAGAAGTCCTTGAGTGATTCCGTGCTTCTTCTTGAGCACTCCCCTCCCCTTCTTCTGATAACCAAAAAAACATGGGCCACCCAGAGGTCTTGGTCTTAACCCGAAGAGAATCTTGAATTCTGTGAGGGCTTTGATCCTCCTAGAGCCCTGAAATCATTCCATTTGCCTCTTTTTATTTAACCTTTGCTGAACACTCGTTTGGGAGATTGTGGACCTGATCAGCCCACAATAATTAAGGGATATTATTAACCTGATAATATTGTAATCTATAGTACCACATTACCCAGACTTCTCCCTCATATAAATATACAAACTATTTTCCTTTTTTGCTTTGCTTTTCTGGTGCTGGGGATCAAGGCCAGGGTCTCATGCAAGCTGGGCAAGTACTCTACCACTGAACTGCATCCCCAGCCCTGTTATTTTATATTTTAAAAATGGATTGACTCTTGTTTTTCCTTTTTGCAGTGCTGGGGATGGTACAGGGTCTCATGTTTACTAGGCAACTGCTCTATCACTAAACACTAGCCCAGGTCACTGACATTTTAAGTCTGCTTTGCATCTTAAAAGCATTTCTTCATGTCAATAAATATAGACATAAAATTAATTAAGAGTGTATCACAATTATATATTCTGCATTTTTAGTCTTTTTCTCCAGTATTTTCATTTTAAAAATATTTCTAGAAAAGTTTTTGTAGATAAATTTCTATATACATCCATAATTTTCCCCTTAAGATACTGTAAATCCTAAGGAGTTGAATTGCTGGGTGCGAGGCTTTTGACAACTAACTGAAAATGTTCCTCAGAAGAATGACAGCCACTGACATCACCAGAGGAGCATGCCAGTTCCCCAGCCCCAGCTCTGCGCACTGACAGCCTCAGGCTTCTCCTCTCTGCGCTGCACCACTACACTCTTGAATGAGGCATGAGACCAGTTACACCTGCCCACACCATGCTCAGCCGGAGGCTGGCTTCTCTCAGTGACCGCGGTGAGTCAGCAGGTACTTCTGTGACTTAGAGCATCTTTTTAAAATTACTATTATTTTAAAGAGAAAAGAACAAAAACAAAACACAAAAACTATAAATACAGAATTTCAAAACAAGATAGGAAATCAACAATGATTGTTGTACTACTTACTGTTATCTTCAAAGTAGCTTTGAAGATTACCAGATATAAGTATGTAAGATTGACCAAACAATTGAACATTAAGTGTTCCTTTCAATAAACAATGGAAATTAGTAGTACAATTATCTAAGCTATTGTGTGTGCATGGGCAGGTGCATGCGGGGAATTTATTTTTGGTTTTGTTGTTGTTGCACATTTTCTGCTATTCATGTTTATAGCCCACAATAATCTTAATTCCTTTTTTTATTCCCTTTCCCCCATCCATCTCCATTCTTTTTTTTTTTTTTTTTTTGGATGTGTTTGCAGTACTGAATGTCGCCCTTCCTTGTGTGGAGCCGGTACATGTACATAGCACATCTTCATTTCTTTTTACATCCCCTCTCCCTCCCTTTCCTCCCATGTCGTAATAATATATGTTATAACAAGTATCTGACTTACACAGTGACCCTGAGCTATACATGAGAGAACAGCTTCCCATGGTCTCTCCTATGAGCTCAGCGTAGCCAGGATCCCATGAGATAACCTTCTACCAATGTTCTAATTGAGGCAATCAGTGCAGAAACATGACGTTTCAGAATTGAGGGGAATCTTTGGAAACATCTAACTTTTGCAGTTTATAGATAAGGATTAATTAAAGCATAAAGAGTCTCCTAAGATCTCAGTTTATGATTTGAAAGTTACCACAGATGATCATGACATGCCAAGTACTGTTAAGTACTAAATCCATTATTTCTAATGTTCACAAAAATCCTGTAAAGCACCAATTATTCTCCTAAGCTGAAAGATAGAGAGGCTAAGTAACTTCTCTAATATCACAGTTATGTAAAGAGAGAGCTGGATCTGGAACAGAGGCTCCTGACTTTAGTACAATGTTATTTCCACATTCTTCTGCTCCTGCTTCATGAATGAGAGTACAGTATCTTGGTTACTTTTCTCTCGTTGTGGGACAAAATACCTAACACCCAGAATTAAGGAAGGAAAGGTTTATTTAGCTCACAGTTTGTGGAGGTTTCAGTCCATACTCGGCTGGCCCCAAGGCAGAGTGACACATGGCAGAGGGCAACAGTTCATGGCGGCAGAAGACAGCAAAATCAGCAAGAGCTAAAAGGGAGGAGGAATAGCAGAGAACAAGCCTCTTTCCCTCCCTTATACTGTATGCAAGATTCCCACCCTAGGGTGGGCGTAGCACTCACACGCATAATCCCAACATTGGACCATGAATCAGTCAAAAACTCCAGAAGCCCCACCCCATGACTGCATGAGCCTTGAGGAGGGATATCTAGACACAACTGTAACATACAGTAATACAGTACTCTTTTTGCTCACTTTATTACCAAGTAGATCCATTCTCCATAGTCCTTTGACCTAAAAGGAGGGTTTTCTATTATCCCCACTCTAATTTTTTTTAAGGCCAGCCTGAACTACATAGCAAGACTCTGTCTCAAAAAAAAACCAAAAAAACAATCAATTCAAAATGCATGAGCCATATACTCTGGTTTCTCTTCAGATCACATAACTCTTTCGCCTTTTACAGAATGCACGAGCCAGGGGTGGCGCATGCCTGTAATCACAGCACTTGAGAGGCTGAGGCAGGAGGATTGCTCCAAGTTCAAGACCAGCCCAGGCTACAAAGTAAGTTCAAGGCCAGGCTGAACTACACTAAAATGGAAAGTACCTCCTTCGCAGCCACCTTCCAAGCCTGCGGTGGCCATGGGACAGTTCTGACCCACTGGAACTAAGAATTTGTTGAAGAATTCATAGGAGAAGTTTTATTTTCCTGCTGCAGCTATCTCTGTCAGTTCCCTTCACCCTTCTCTCACTTGAAAGCACATCCAAGGGCTAAAACAATCGCAGCCATCTCCGATACACGTGTGGACTGCTAAGAGAACAGATGCTGACCCTCACACCCCTGAGCTACTGACCACCTACCTCCAGGACTCTTAGGGGAGCAAACTCATACTTTTTTTGTAACTAATACTATAAGCTACAAGAGTTACATTTCCTGTCACTTGTAGCCAAAAACAATTCCCAACTAACATAGAAGTCTGCAATTCTAACAATCTGGCAGTCAGTTTATATGACAATGGCAAGTCACTCTACCTGCCTCTCTGCCACCTACTTCGCATAGACAAATGAGAAGGCATCTTATGAGCTATGAAATATACAACCTCAGGTATCACTGGCCACTGCCACCTGACTTACACACACTTTTCCTCTCCTTAACCACATTCTGACTCAAAAGGTCCTCAGTGAAGGATTTCTCAGTGGCTGACAGTAGTTAAAACTTTCTGGTTGGCAGGCACGAAATCTTCCTGTTCTTGTGAACAAACATGCTGGAAGACATACATGGGAAAAATCTTGGATTCCCATGATCTTAATGCCTAAGTGAGGTCACTGGGAACACTGCCCAGGCAGCAATGTAATGAGGACAGCTAACGCCGGGGAGGACAGAAGCAGGAACTGTAACATGCAGCGGTCCCACCTGCCTCCTAAACACCACAACTACACCAAAGCCTACTGCTAGAAAGCGAACCACTCGCATCTTTTTTTTAATTATGAAGCTCTACTACTAGTCTCTATGAAGGGCAATCTGCATTGAGGTAAAGGAGAAACTTATCCTACAGATATTTATTTAAGCATGTGTAAGTTTAACGAAGTGGAAGCAGGGCTCAATGCTGCACGCCTCTTGAGGCAGAGGCAGGAGGACTGCAAGTTTGAGGCCAGCCCGGGTTGCACAGGGAGTTTCAGGCCAGCCAGACTAAAGAGCAAGATCCTATCTCAAAAAAAATGTTGAAGGCCGGGTGTGGTGACACACACCTATAGTCCCAGCACTCAAGAGAGGCTAAGGCAAGGAGGATCACAGGGTTTTGAGGTCATCCTGGGCTATACAGTGAGTTCAAGGCCAGTTTGAACTACACAGTGAAACTCTTGTCTCAAAAACAAAACAAATGGGGGGCTGGGGATTTAGCTCAGCAGCGCAGCATCTGCCTGGCAAGCGCAAGGTCATGAGTTCGATTCCCAGTACCAGAAAAAAAACAAACAAACAAAAAAATATATATGTTTGTACTTATTTGAATACATACTACTTTCGTGAGTATATAAATCAACATGATCTTCCCATAAAGCAATTTGGTGTATGTATCAAGTCTTAAAAATAGTACTCTTAGGCAAGCATGCGAGCACATGCCTATAATCCCAAAACTGTGGAAGGCTGAGGCAGGAGGACTGCAGGTTCTAGCCCAGCCTGAACAACTGAGCAACTTAGGGAGACCTTGTCTGGAAATAAAAAATAGAGCTAGGGTGTAGCTCAGTGGAAAGGCCCTGTGTTCAATGCCCAGTTACAAAAAAAAATATTTTTTGATTAGCAATTTCACAGGGTAAAGTACTATAGATAAACCATATATTGTTATATGGAATATCAACATATAGTCTTTAAAATTATGCTATAGAAAAATTTAATGATGTGTATAATTATTAAGTGAATAAAAAGTAATAAAGGCTTTCAGCGTATGATTTTTTTGTTTTTTGAAATGGGTCTCACTATGTAATTCAGGCTGGCCTTGAATTTAGGGCAATCCTCTTTCTTCAGCCTCCCAAATGCTTGGGATTAGCCAGGAGTGATGGCCCACGTCTATAATCCCAGCACTTGGGAGGCTGAGGCAGGAGGAGCACTGCAATATCGAGACCAGCCTGGGCTACAAAGTGAGGTTAAGGCCAGACTGAACTGCATAGCAAGACCCTGTTTCAAAAAGACAAAAAACAAAAAGAACAAAAAACAAACAAGTACTTGGGATTACAGGCATGCAGCACAAAGCCAGGCAGTGTATAGATTTAAAACAAAATAAAGGCACAAAAAAAAGTAAAGAAATCTATCGAAATATTAGCAATAGCTTATCTAAGAAGTAGTATAGTTGGCAGTTTTATTTTTTTTGTTTTCCCTATTATATAAATTTCCTCCCCAAATATGTGCTACATTACAAAGATAGCTTAACTTTTTATCACTACATGTTTGTGGTGCGCTATGATTATACTCATCATGGGGTATTGATACATATATTAATTCTCTTTACAACCCTTTCCCCATCTCTTGGTCCTAAAATAATTTAAATACTTACAAGACTGACATATTAATGTTCCCTTTATTCCTTTTCTTCCCCCAGTACTGTACGGGGGATTGAATCCAGAGCCTCTGCCTTGAGCTACATCTCCACCCCTCCCAGCTTTCTTTTTTTCTCCCCCCCCCATAGGGTCTAAATTACAGGCTCAGCCCAAGCTCATGATCCTTGTGCCTCAGCCACCTAGAGGGGTGGTATTGCAAGCATGGGCCATCACACCCAACTCTCTTATTAATATAATTCACTGTGGAATTCACAGCTTTACCTGTGGTTTAATGAGTCTGTTAGTCTGCTTAACTATAGGCTTGGCTGAAAGCTGCAATATAGTCTCACTTATGAATTTTTTTTTTTTTTTTTTTTTTTTGGTCTTTTTGAGACAGGGTCTCACTATGCAGTTCAGGCTGGCCTTGAACTCACAGTGATCCTCCTGCCTCAGCCTCCAGAGTGCTGGAATTACAGGCGTGTATGCCCAGCTCAGTTCTGAATCTTGAAGTCTAGCAGATTCCTCTTATTAAGAACCTGGAAATAGCAGCAAGATGAATGAAGTTCCTTGTAGTAAAAATATAATATAGGGAAATAGGAAGGGGCCTTAAATGAAAGACCAAAGGATACGTCTGAGAATAGCAGAGGCCTCCCAACACGACAAACCTAACATTGTTACTGCACCAGTGTAAAAGTTTTTAGACATTTTAGTGTACATGTACTGTCATGCTGTCTGTGCTACACACTCACTTTAATCTTTACAAGCTTGCATTGTAGGAACACTGAGTAGTAGCATATACTTCTACTCAGACAAATAGGCTTACTTGCTTAAAATGTGAACAAACTTTTTATTACTACTTTCATTTACTAAATTTTTAAATTTCTACTTCCTAGATATAATTTTGTACTTCTCATTAATTTTTCATTTCTTCCCCTTTTACCAAGTTCCCCTATCCAAACAAACACAGAACTCCTTCTAGTTATCTCTACTTATCTCATGGAGGCCCTTGGGCTGCTGATCTGCATCTCAAATACCCAGCTCTTTTCACAGAATCCTTGGGCTATACAATTGCACTACAGTTAACCCTTTAATCAACTTCAATCATGACAAAGAAAATTTTGTCAAAGGACATTCAAATCCCACCTTTCTTCCCAATCAAGACAAAGACTGAGAGAGAGACAGACAGACAGACAGACAGACAGAGACAGAGACAGAGAAAAGCTGACAGGAAAAATACATAAGGAATGTATATAACTCCAAAGCTTTTCTGGAACCTAAATAAGAGATAAAAAACCTTCCCACATAATTCTTTCTCATGGACAGGCATCACTGCAAATGTAGGAAAAATTAACTTTATAAAGGCTAGAATACACATATTTAAGCATAGTCACTACCAAAATAACCCTATTTTACATAAATAATTTGAAAATTTAGCCAGCCTGGTGGCACATGCCTGTAACCCCAGCATTTGGGAAGCTGAGGCAGGAGGAGCACTGAGTTCAAGGTCAGTTTGGACTACTTAGTAAGACTCTGTCTCAAAAAACAAACAAAAAAGCTGGGCATGGTGGTACAGGCCTGTAATCCCAGAACTCAGGAGGCTGAGGCAGGAGGATTGTTTGGAGTTCAAGGTCAGCTTGGGCTACAAAGTGAACTCATGTCCAGCCTGAACTGCATAGCAAGTCCCTGTCTCAGAAAGACAAAAAAAAAAAAAAAGCAAAACAAAACAAAAAAAACCCAGCTCAAACAAATTTACCAGCCTACTTGAACACGAGCCAAGTTTTCATACCTGCAGTTTTGTAGTGCCTCCTGTCTATCCAATCAATTGATATTTGGTGGCCGATTCCCATACCCAAAGACTGCTCTAGTCTAACCAAACTGCTTCTCAAGAGCCACTCTGTACACCACCTACTTCACCAGCCACTCCTGCCCGTTTCAGGCCTCACTGATCTTCCTCACCCCTAAAAACTGTGCAGAGCACTCAGATCCTGTTTTGTCTTGGTCTGACTGTCACCTGCAGCAATCTTCTGTCCCCAAGCATGACACAAAGCCTCTGAATGTACCACACATCTGCCTGGATACCCACAGTACCTAACACCAACCTGAACACACAATACACCCTAAAAGGTCAACTAATTGAATAAGGGAGCTGGGAGCTGACAAGAATGACAATTTAACAGTAAACATAGGTCAGGTGTGGTGGCACACCCCGGTGATCTCAGCAGTCTGGAGGCTGAGGCAGGAAGATCATTGGGAGTTCGAGGCCAGCGTGGGCTACAAAGTGAGCTCAAGGCCAGCCTGAACTGCATGGGGAGACCCTGTCTCAGAAAGACCAAAAAAAAAAAAAAATAGTAGCCAGCCACACCCAATCCAGCCCGTATACTCAACTATGTTTTGGGGGATGTTGACAGGTGGTATAATATACTGATGTCTTTTTCTTTAATAGTTCTACTTTTGACATCTGATGAGTGAGAGAAATTCACAGAAAGCCTGTAGGATGTCAAGACGAAGTAACACTCAAGGAAGTAAACCCAACAAGTGAACTTGATTTCAAGCAAAATCAGGGAGTCAAAATTCCTCCTCTGTGCTCAGCAGGAATAGTTTGGAGGAGCCCTGGCTACCGAACTACTGGAAAATTTTATGTGAAAAAAAAAACATTTATCAACAAAACAGTGGGTGAGGCAAGATGATCACAAGTCGGAGGCCAGCCTGGGTAACTCAAGTGATTTGGTAAGAAATAAAGTTAAGGGGTTGGGCGTTAATGCAAAGGCTCTGGTTTCAATCTCCAGTACAAAAAAAAAAAAAGGAAAGGAAAATAGAGGAAAAGCTGGGCTTGGTGACTGTTGTAGTCAGGGGTTTACAACAGCAACAATACAGGACACATATTTTATAAGATTATTT